CGCGCCACGGGGAGAGAAACCGTAAACGGGATTTTTTCAGCTATTAATAAGGGCCGCGATAGGAGGCGGCGATAATAGAAAATCACCGCGAGTTACGATCGCCATGCCAGCTTTCAGTGCACCGTTATGAGCGCGGCCCGGCGTAAATAACGAACGGCACGGACTGAAAATAGCTCCGAGTGACGCGCAATAGAAGCAACAGGAGTCTATTGCCACGGGTCATTAATCACGGAACGCTCCGGGTAATAGCCTGTCCGGTGATTGACGAATACGCGCGAGGAGATTGCGCAACGCGTGTCTTTTACAACGCGGACGCGCGGTTCGAATCGTCTCGGCGTTCGATGCTCGATTTCTGGGAAAGTCGAGCGAGAGAATCTTGCAGCGATGCACTTTGATTTTGAAGGCGGAGGAAATTTTCGATTTAACGCATCGCGTGCCGGCTAATTTTCGGGAAACTGGATTCTGATGGCAATTTTCACTGAGGTAGACTTATATCACTGTGCATAGAGAAACTCGGATATACTGTTGTGTAATGTATTTTAAATAGATAATCGATTTGAATGAAATTTTATGTTTTCTTCGATGCTGTGGTAGCGAACGTTGCATAGCTAAGTGTCTAGATTGTGGAGACTGGAGCGATAGTAGGTAATTGGGGTACATGTCAGTGTGACAGCATCAATAAAAATCGGCGTAGACATTTACAAAATAATATTTCTAAAATCCAATGTGCGTCAATTTCACGCGTTGCGTGAACCTAGTGTTAACTGTATCGTGTCGCCACTGTTGCGGACAGTGGGCGTGGCTCGTCGCAGCCAATGAGGGAGAGAGAAAGCTCCTAGTGATTCTATAACTGTCTCGATCGGCTCCGAGGGACTACAAGAGGTGATCTATCGGTTTTCGATGAGAAATTACAGAAAGTACAAAATGGACTCCTCGTGAAATATAACTTACGATCCAGTTTACTGGTGTTTAATGTTGAATGCCATGGGGTCACCGGTGACCCCCAACCAAATGGAATTACTATAGTCCACTCAATTAAACCATGATTATTCGCAAACATTCCTGTATTATAAATAATTCTAACTAATGTGGTTCTAGATGAACCTGCAACAATAATGCAATTCAATCAAATGATTCAATATATTTCCTCCATTTCAAGTATCTTGTACCATGAAATTATGCGGCGTTCAACGTGTTAACAAAAGTATCGATTTCTCCGCGACTCAATATTCTCTCTTCCTGTCTCGCGTACAATTTCCAACGAAAAAAAACCACCGACTTTCTAATGACAACTGCACTACCACTTCGAAACGCGGAAACAGCCTCACAAATTCCCCCGAATCGACTGCAGATCTGCTAAGGAGATGATCCTGAGATCAACGCGATAAGGATCCCAAACAAGGATCATTCCCAACCCTATCATCGAAAATCGAACCCGTTCCAACGTCTCGTCCGCCGGTCCGCGTGGTCCGGCGATGACGAGGAACAGAAGCAAGAAGATGAAGAAAAAAAGTGGAGCATCGGATAGTCGTGAATCGAGTCGCGGTCGAGGAAAGGAGAAAGAAACCGGGGCGAAGGGGGAGGGAGGGGTCAGCGGCGACGTCCCTGAATGAGAAAGCGGTTCGATGCACTTGCCACTCCTTTCCTCCGTCCCGCTCCGCCCCTCGGCGGACCCGTTGTTCCGCGGACGTGTTGCAACACGAAAGGAACGAGCGTACGGGAGGCAGGATAATGCCAGGACCGTGTATACGGTGCGCGCGGACGGAACAACCTGGACAAGAACGACTGGGAAACGCTGCGTACCCACAGGAACAGGGAGGAGGATGGGGAGGAGGAGGAGGAGGAGGAAGATGAGATCGTTGTTCGGTGATTCGAAAGCCCTCCCAGGTGACGGGCTTTTTGCCAGCCCCATTCGTTCCTCTGCGGACAGTTGATTCGCGATGGGACGCCGGGCGACGCTGCAGGATTGGGGATGATAACGATGGATACTTCGGCTCGCGGTAATTACGGTAATGAGGGCGATGATAATTTTGACTGTGGTTTCGGAATTTGAGGAATTGGTGGTGGAAGCTGAAGGTTGAGAACTGGGTTTTGGTAGGTGATTTTTGGAGAACGGTCGAGTAGAAGGTTATTCAATTTTAGGAGAGTTGGATTTGAAGTTAATATTTGAGTTTTGAAGGTTGAATGAGGAAATGAACTGAGGGAAGGTTAAGTAATTTGATATTCTTTTTATTTTTTTGACGTGTGATTAGTGGTGTGATTTTGGAGGCTAGCGCGGAATAAATGGGTTAATGTCAGAACATTGATCCTTGACGTGATTGGAGCTCTGTACCACTGGAACACTAACCTTTGAGACTAAAATATTTCGATAGTAGCAACACGTTCCTATTTTATCTGTCAAATGATCTAATAATCGTGCCGGTACCTTCCCTGCCCTGCAGCTCGCGCGAATTCCAGCTAAATTGTCTTCGAAGACCACTATCTCCGGGTTCTAAATAAGCGCACTTAGGGCAACGAGCTGTAACAAGAGCAAAGTATCGTGAAATCGCGTACCGGTCATCGACATTCCATCGGAGACCGTTCTTGTTACGGCCACGTGGTTTCCGTTTAAACTGTCAGCAACGGGCGAAGTAGCCCGGGGAACGTCCGGCGAGTCATCCTCGAGGATGTCGATTAATCGTTTTCCTCGATCCGTGATTACCTGCCTGTTAATGATTCGACACGCCGCTCGTTCTCTTCTATTTAACCGATCGGATGAAATTGTTGCGGTAAGAAGTTGCAAGGTTGCTTTGCTTAATCATGATCCCTCAGTCATTCTCGCGGCGGGGCGGGACCGCGCTGCCTTTAGGGCGGAATTCGGACGAAGATGTTTCAAATTTTAAGCTCTGCGTGATTTTATATCATTAAGCTTTGATAATCATAGAGATATTAAGCACTTCAGGTTGTTTTGTAATCTACCAGCAACTGCAACTAATTTTTATAGTATTCTTTTATTTTCTTTTATTTTCCTTAGTATAAAATTTGGTTGTGTGGAAAATCGAATAATTTTAGGGTAGTTTCAAGATTCATAAGAATACAGAGTTCAAAGGGTTAACACTAGAACTACCATACCAGTCGAAGTGATCGGTTTCGATTTATTTCGCGATTATTGATATCTTGAAAGCACTCAATACTCGAAATGATCTTGAAACTAAATACTTTCATTCGAATGCTATAATGAATCTCCGGAGAGACTGATAATAATCTATTGCTACAATTTTAATTTTAAAACATTAGTAATAACCTAATTCTAAATCCCTAATTCCAAGATCTAAATGCTCGAACATCAATTCTTCTAGGAACAATAGAATAAACCTAGTGTTAAAGGGACGATCCCATTATCAACGCAAAAACAATCGCGCATCATCGAACCGGTCGACCAATAATCGCGTTCGTCCGCGAGTTTAACAACAACGTAATCGTCCAGTGCCTCGGACCGTCTCGCGGCCCGGTTCCATTAATTATCCGAGATTTATAAAACGATTCGCCTCGAGTGAGCGATAAGAGACGCTGCGCCGAGCCGAGCCGGGCCGAGTCGAGTCGAGTCGAGCCGCTCCACTTAAGGGTTAACGACGCGGCGATCGGAATTGTTGATCGCGACGTCGCGTTATTATCAATAAGTTCGTCTCGAGGGGCAATTCGCCGGGCCGGGTCGGGCCCCGGGCCCCGGGCCGGCGTTTATGCCGCCCGCCGGGCCCGTCGCCCTCTCATAAATCATTATTTATGTCGCGCACAGTGGCCAGCTCTGTTTGTCCTCGGTTCTTGCTGCAATCCCGGTTCCCTCTCGATCGGACACGCTCGGCTCCCGATTAAAATCGTCGATCCAGTTTCTTTCCGACCCCGACTTAATGCCCGCCCGTTGAGTTATCACTGGATGTTTACAAGTTTATTGTGTCGTATTTGGATCGATCGAAAAGGTTTCTTGTCCGATTTACTGGCGGGACGCGATCGTGAAATCGGCCGTGCGGAGGGCGGAATTAGTTCTTTCGTTATTAAGAAGAGAATTGCATGAAGGTCTGTTGCTTGAGAATGCTTTGGTTAGGAGCAAATCTTCTGGAGACATTTCGAAAATTAATTTTTTTTAAAATTAGTCAGCTTCTCTAACACGTTCACGGCGTGTACCACCGGTGGCTCACAGTAAGATATCACGTTAGACAATATGTACCATTGATGGCTCGTTAAACGGTGTGTAGCATCAAATATGTAGCTCGTCTAATGGCTTGGTAATTAGAAAACATTGCCATATACTTGAGAATTAATTTACTTAGTGATCATTTCAATATTTTTATCAATTTCGAGAACTTCGTCGCTAAATGGGAAAGAGTGGAAATTACGGTGAACGTGCTAATCTTCGCGTCGTCGACCCTTTGCAATCGAGAGGTGACTCTAATTTAATTAGAACTTTATATGATGCGTTGATCTAAAATATTGAATTAGAATAGTTCAAGTTTAAAAAATATCGTCTTCTCATCAGAGAATGTTAAAGTGTTTCTAGAAATCTTCCGAATGCGAAGGGTTAATTATTCACTGTAGATAGTTAACTATTTACTTTCGTTACTAAGCTCGTGTAATATTTTACCATCGACAATTTATAAGAAATACAACAAAACTTTCCATTCTACTTGAGGTGGAAATTTCATTTGAAGATAATACATTGACAATAGCAACATAGTTTGATCCGTGGGTAACGAACATTGATTCTCGTTAAATCAGAAATCTCCATCACGAGTCTCACTCGTCATCGTACGGCGTGATCATCGCAGTGACGTGATTCTTGTAAATTCGATAGACGAGTAAACCGTGAAGCAATGATTTAAGCAAATAGCTTCGTCCCGCGATGGCCGCGTCGAATTGCCCGAGGCATCGGTCAACGATCATACGAAACGGACGAATGTTTCACGGAGTTTAAAGCTGCCCGCGGCCGAGCGAGGGGTTTAAGAAGATTGCCGTAGCACACTCACCCAGCCACAGGCGTCATCTTCAGCGCCAGTGCCCTGCTGATGCAGAATCCCGCTCCGCCGGTCGCGAACCAGAATTTCACCTTTTGCTGGAACAGAAAAAACCGAGCGCGGTTCGTTAAGCGGCCGGAACATGGGGGCTACCGGTCAAGAGCAGTGATCGATCGATTGTCCATCGGACGGCTGATCGATCGGACCGCTACCGATTACGTCCGTCGATCACTTTGCTCCCTGATTGGGACCGATCGTTCCTTCGATTCTTTCTCTCTCCCTTTGCACGCGAGAATTTTGTTTCAACTGTACGCCAACTTTCAATTAAAAAGGGTGAAAGTAGAATTATTCTCGGTGGAATTTGGATCGTTATCGTATTCAAGTTCATTGTTAATTGCTCGTATCTTAGACTTCGATCTACTTATGTCTTCTATTTTCTTCTTCGATCTACTTATCTCTTCTATTCTCTTCGATCCACTTACTCGTATCTTAGACTACTTCCCTATTGTCTACTTCTGTCTAAATCAGCCAGCAATTAATCTCATTCCTCTCAATAGAACGAGACTCTTTCCACTAATTGTCTTCCTGGATCATAGACTTCAATGCAACCCTATCATCCAGATTCCATTGTCAACAATAAACCATCAATCGCGAAACAAAGGTAACTGTCAATGGAATTCCTTCTTACTCCAGCTTCCAAATTCCTAGATCGCACAATTCGATCTATACCTATTATTTTATCTCAACAATAAACCATCCATCAATCGCGAAACAAAAGTAACTGCCAATGGAATTGCTTCTTACTCCAGCTTCCAAATTCCTGGCAGACTTCGATCTAACCCCATTACTACTATCTCAACAATAAGTCAGCCATCAATTAAAACAGAAAGAACCTCAGCGCAATTACCTTTCTTTCAACGCTCAATTCGATTTCCTAATTCCTGGATCTCAGACGTCTGAACCTATTCTATCTCACTCCACCCGAACGATAAACCAGCTATCAATTAAAACACGAGAGAAAGCCTCCCACAAAGCGATTATCTTCCATTCTTTGCCGAACCCGATTTCGAAACTCCCGGATCCGACGATCGTTTATACTCGATTACCGAACGATATCCCGTTTTGGCGGGTCGTTCGCTATCAGGCCGGCGAGAAAGCCGAGAGTTACGAGCGTACCGTTCGATTTCTGACCGATCGGCGTGCCCCCGGGCATTTCCAGCCGGGGCAGCTAGGCGACCTGGACGCGATCCACGCCGCCGATACTATCTCCCGACCGGTCCGCGGCAACGGGGCAGCTCGCGCTCCTTTCTAGGCGTGGCCACACGAGCCGAACACGTGCGTGCACGGAACAATGCGACTGTCGCCGGACCGAAATCTTTTCGATCGCGGACTTGGCCAATCTCTCCGGCTCGCGCGAGCTCTTGCGCAACCGCCGCTCGAACAATGTCCCGTGGCGAACGAGATCGATGCTAATCGCGAGCAACAACGGTTTGGCAGGCTGCAGCTTGGATTTATGCGCGTCTTTTGTTTGATTTTCAAATGCGAGGGATTGGAAGTTTGGGAGGTTGATAGGTGCTTTTGGGGGATGGATGCAGATCTGGAGGAAGCTGACTGTCTTCAGAGGTTGGTAATAATAAGGGTGTTAAGTTTCTTTAATGGTTATTGAAAGTTGTTGCTAATTAACACTGAACTGAAAAGATAAGTGATGTTTCTCTGAGAAATTATTCAAGAAATTTAACAATACGCAAACTGAATTGTAAGTCAATTAAAGTCTCGATAGATCCACCCTTGAAGGTGTTATACTGGAATTTCAGAAAGACAATTTAACTTCTCGGTAGGTTTAGTGTTAAGTTGCTAGATTTAGGGGTTGCTATCAGTTGCTAATAAAGTGAAGCTTATTAACTCTAATCGGAGCACGATGTAACTTTGAGTCACATTTGAACTTTTTAACTAAATTCTTTGATTATTTCATATTGCATTTCCAAAAGATTCTTTGGGCTTTTAAAATTTCTATAAACAATAACATTTTAATCATTCCTTCTACTCTAGGCGTCAGATTTAATCATCGTGCTATGATTCCTTATAAAAACACGTGGTACGATTAAGGTCAAGGGTTATCAACTGTCACTGTTAATAAAATTGCTAAATATCTAAGCTTCTCCAAGGGTTATTAATAGTAGATCCTCAGTAAGTTAATTAATCAGAAAATAATGAAAGTATGCCATACATATTTCACTCCTAAATGAAACTCAACGAAAATCAACGATTCAAAGGAAGAATAGAATGATAACAGCTGATAAAGGGCAAAAGACACGTCGCGTGTGTCGCAACGAAAGTTCAAGCTCTCGGGCTTCCCGGCACGACATCTCTCGTATCTGTGGCGGCCTCGCGATATCGGCCTCTCTAATCTGTTCATTAGTCCTAATATATCGAGCGGCTGCCACCCACTCTCCATCAGATATTACTCGCAGTGTCATTCAAGCCTCCGCTTTTACGAGCTCGCTCGTTCCTTACGGGGAGAAACGTAGAAAGAGCTCTCGCTTCCGTCTCCGCTCGATTAACAACTTCCACGCTGGGCGGGGAGTCGCGTTTAATTAATTTAATCAACGCCTCGGCAATCTTTATGCCTCCGATATGAGGATCGTATCGAAGAATTTAACAAATTGCCGTCGTTTCGGCATGAGTAACGGAGTTTTAAACGGGGAAAGTGGGACAGGATGTTATAACTCGGTTTCGCTCGGTCATCGTAATGTCCTTTAAAGTATATGAAAAATATTACTCGGCTCGAAATATTCTGCAAATTGATACGATGATAAATTAAACTATCTTATATTCACTCAGCGGTGTAATTATGTTTTAACCCTTTGCACTCCAGAAGTTTTTCATCGGAGATACTCAAGATTTTTTTATGAAACGCCAATGATATCCTTTGAAACTGACTTAACGAGAAATCGCACGTAAATTAAAGAAAGAGGCTGTTTTATTTTAACATTTTATTAAATGTCAAACTCTGTAATTTTGCTGTGTCAAATCAATTGGCGACTGAGAGGCGCTTACGAAGTGCAAAGGGTTAAAGTAGAAATCGTTGTACTGAATGAAATTCGCAATAACATTCGAGTGAAACTGGTACTAATGGCAGACCGTTAACATTCAATTTTCAGTCATTCAATTCAATTGTCAGTAATCGAAACGTTTAATTTAACGTTTGCAGCAACCAACACGATACTCGTAGTTCTTCCAATTTTTATTTCCAATCGAAAAATCGAAAAATTAGGAATGTTCCAAGCAACAAAAATATTTAACATTCAATTGTCAATAATCGAAACGTTTAATTTAACGTTTGCAGCAATCTAAGTCTAATATTCTTCCAATATTTATTCCTAATCAAAAATCGGAAAATGTTCCAAGCAACGAGAATATTTAACATTCAATTGTCAATAATCGAAACGTATAATTTAACGTTTGCCAGGTTACTATGATACTCATAATTCTTCCAATTTTTATTCCCAGTCGAAAAATCGAAAAATTAGGAATGTTCCAAGCAACGAGAATATTTTCCTCCTAACAGACGCGTTATTTTTGTAGAAAGTCACGAGACTCAACGGTTTTCCCCAAAAGTCGTTGCTGGCTGTCCTAATTGGGAGCCAGACTCCTACCGAACTTCCCTCTATTCCCAATTCAAACGATAAGGAAGCAAAGCGGCCGACCCTTGGCGGAGAGCAGCAATCAGGGAGCCGAAGTTATCTTC